GAGACGCTCCTGTCACGTCTGCATCGTTGTCCCCGAGACGTTCCTGTTACGTCTCCATCATTGTCCCTGAGACGCTCCTGTCACGTCTCCATCTTTGTCCCCGAGACATTCCTGTCACGTCTCCATCGTTGTCCCCGAGACACTCCTGTCCTGTCTCCATCGATGTCCCCGAGACGCTCCTGTCATGTCTCCATCGTTGTCCCCGAGACACTCCTGATATGTCTTCATCGTCTGAACCTTTCCCACGAGAGAGGAGACAGTCCACGTCCTCAGACACAGCTATGGTTAGTCAGGGTTAGAGTTGCACTCGGGTCCAAATAATCCGAACCGACCCTTGACCCGGCCCATAGCCATCATCTCTGAACCCCACCCGATCCTATGAATTAACAGTAATTACAGGTCCGAACCTGGAATAAAACCCAGACATTTTTAATTAAGCTTTGACTGCTTATACCACCGACTATTATTAACGGTTGGTGTACGCGCGCGGCTATGGGGGCAGAAGATCAGAGCTGAGGAGCCATCAAAGCGCATTAAATGCTTCCCCTGCTTCTGCCTGCATCCTGCTCTGACATGTCGAATATTTTGTGATCTTACCTGCTTGGATCTCAACTGCGTTCGTCCGCTGAGTGCAGCAGCTGAATGAACGTCCATTTGGTCTGATGGATTTCTGGCAGTAGTCAATCTGAAGCTTAACTGAACTTTTTACCTCTTTCAACCGGCCAGTCAGTGCGCGGTCAAATGGCCATGTGCTACAGGTGTAGTATGGCAAGCCATGTTTGCATATATTGGATTGTAGGGCGCATGCTTCTGATGCAATAAAAAGCCTGACACTGACCCGACCCACACATTAAGCACATTATTATGGCCCAGCTCGGTTAGAATCTGGGTCGGGTGGGGCCGGGCTCCGGGTTCGGGTTAGAAATGACGGCTCTAGTCAGGGTCAGATCTCCAAGGCCACGTCCTTTGCACCTGATCTGCTGGTCTCTGCTGGAACCACAGGAAGACAAACTGATCCAGCTCATTCAGGCTAAGTTTGACTGATCCCCATGAGTTGATGCCCGGTCCCCCCCAGGCGTGGCTCAAGGGTGGGGCCCCAGTAATTTACATCCGTCTTGTTGTTCTTCTCTGTCCATACGGTAGTAGAAGCTTTTTGTCTGGTCTGTCACCTCGGACCAATGGCCTTGGAAAACCCCTAAAATGGTTCTGCTGGTTTCAGACCTAAACACTTATAGGCAGTTATCACATGAAAACATTAGGTTGTTTTCACACCTGATAGTCCGGTAGACTCTGTTCAGTTAGGGACCAATATTCATGACATTTTGTTTACATTTGAGCTGATGCGTTTGCATTCACACTGCACTGTGCAGTCGAACCGACCTGTTCGAACCAACCTGTTCCCCCACTCGCCTGTGGGGGCGCTGCACCAAGAACTACTGAAAGAAACGACACAAAAACCTCTGAAGACACTTCTTCTTCTTCTGGAAATAAAAACACAAACGGAGTGGCATCAAGTTTTAGCAGTTTTAGGATTTATATTTAGTCATTTTTCAATAATGGACTCAGCATGAGCAGAAGATGAGACAGAAGAACATGGAGAATATTGTTTTTCACACAAGGCAGCTGACGGCTCCATATAAGGTAAGAGAAATGCGCGTTTGTTTGCCCTGCGCTGTACTCCACTTCTTGCTTGTGGAGCAGGGCCCGGTTTAATTACATTCACACTGTACTCGAACCGCGCTGGAGTTCTCTTCTACCGGACCGAGACCTAGGTTTTAGCCCGGGCCAGAGTTTGCCTTTTTGTTCCGTGACAGAGTTTGATTGCGCGTTCACACCTCCCCAAACGAACCAGACTTCGTAGGAAAACGAGCTAGAGTTCGATTAAAGCGGACTAAACAGGGCTGGTGTGAATGCACCCTTAGTCCACTAAACTCCAAACTATGATTTGACACATTTACTTGTGTCAGTTCCATCTATAACCATCCCCTCTGTCTGCAGGTGACGTCCACATCTTCAACGCTCTGTTCTCTGCAATTCCATACGTCGAAGACACATCTGCCAAGAAATGGGGCATCATGAATGTAAGATCCTGGTTCTGAACTCTTTCTTATAGCGTTCATGTCAACAACATGCCATCCAACAAAAACACCTTCTACTCAATATATAAAGAAATAAAACTGACAAAAAATTATGACCATTAAGAACAATTGTAAAATATATGAAATGATTCTGCAATAAGATGGGGCACAAATCATGGATATAATTGTCTCTGTCAGGGTCAGCTCCACTCACAGAGCATGCTTGGTTGGTGTAAAAGATACAATCGTCTCTCATTGTATCACCGTTCACGTATAACAGCTTCACTGTATCGCAGGTTTTTAAACCCAGTTTTTTATATTGTGTGTTGGAGAAAAATATTATTGCATTATCTTACTGAAAACAAGCTGCACTCGACTGCAGTAGAGGATTTTTTTAACTGGTTTTTACTTACAAGGTTCGATTTTTAGCACAGGTTACACAAATATACAGGAAGTACACACAGATATACAGGAAGTACACACAGATATAGTACACACAGCTATAGTACGCACAGATATATAGAAAGTACACACAGATATAGTACACACAGATATACAGGAAGTACACACAGATATAGTACACACAGATATAGTACACACAGATATAGTACACACAGATATACAGGAAGTACACACAGATATACAGGAAGTACACACAGACATAGTATACACAGAGATATACAGGAAGTACACACAGATGTAGTACACACTGGTATACACAAAGTACACATAGATATACAGGAAGTACACGCATGAAGACCAGTAAGGAGAATATGCCATCGCCTGTGAAGCTTTTTATACTTTTATCAGTTCAGCCGAGCTCACAGACTCGGAGGTGACCTTTAAAGCGACAGCTTCGTGTCTGCAGCCTCACCCAGCTCCTCATCCGACTTTATACTAACCCAAACATATGTTTCATGGGCAGAGATACCATTCTCGGCCATAGAAGTTTAAAACATCCATAAATTTTGACCAGTAATTCCTAACAGTACATGCTGTGCAGTACTTTACATTCATATCCAACAATTTTCATTCAGGTCATCTGGACAGTTTCTTTTTTGTGCTGAAACGTTTCACCTTCCATCCAGAAGGCTTCATCAGTCAAGGAAACACACAACACAAAACTGGTTCTGACTCCACAGAGAACTTTAAGTTTAAAGTAAAAAACAAAAGTTAAACAGAGACATCTCTGCTATAATCTGGAGCATACATATTAATCTTTCAATGCTAATATTGTGTAATTATAAGAACTAAAGCAGCAGGTGCAGTCTGTCTCATTGTGAGACTCGGGCTGAGTGCCGTCCCGTGGCGGTGCACGTCTCTCTCTCAGTTCAGTCTCTTGTGCAGGTTGTAGACAAGGTGGGGGACAGCTTAACTGTCGCTTCACTACTAATTAATTATTCTTAAAGCTAGTTTAAGCCCAAAGAATATTAATTATTTAAATACAACGGATTATTTATTTTTCGAGTTAAATTAATGCCATGTGACGAGATAACTGTGAGGATTGTTTAATCAGTGACAGGAGACGCCATTTTTCTTTGACCCATCAGAATAAATGCGGTCATTTATTTAACAGAATCAAAATTTAACATCAAAACATGTACACATTGATTTGCTGATCTGGTTCTGATTAATAAAAACTTGGCATACTTTACTAACAAGACAACAGAACATTTCTGAAGGCATCTAGATTACTGGCAAAATAGAAAATTTAAAGGAAGGAATGGAGAAGTTTAAAAGTAGATGGATGAAGGAAAGATGTATGTTTGTTGACCAGAATTAGCACGCTTCTTTCCACACCAGCTCAAACCCCCGGTACACTCGGTGCGTGACGACTCGTTACCTTTGCAGAAGATAAATCAACTCCGGTACAGGGTCCATTTCAACGATACCTTTCCAGCGTCTCCGGTCAGGGCGGCTGGCATCGTCAGAAGTCGTGACGATTTACTCCGTCCAACAGACAAGCTTCCTTCGAAGTTGTAGGGTGTTACGCCCGGGTGAGTTCACAGCGAGGTGCTGTGACTCCATCCATAGTCAGATGACTCAATTCATTTTATTTATATAGCACCAAGTCACAACAGAAGTCATCTCAGGGCACTGAACAGAACCATTCATATATAAAAAATAATAATTTAACACTAGTTATCTGAGGAGCAGACTGCTTTGAGTTTAACTTCATCGCAGACTGTCATCTTGAGCAAGCACAAAGGCAACAGTGGAAAGGAAAAACTCCCTCATGTGGAAGAAACCTTTAGCAGAACCAGGCTCAGGACAAGAGGTTATCTGCTTCGACCGGCTGGGTTTGAGAGGAACAGATACACAATGGCAGGTCAAGAATCAAATGTTACTATAGAAATTATATCAAATGAAAACTACTCAATTTTAGCAATTAATTTTAAGAACTGAGGTCCATTTGTCCTCCATTAGTCTAAGCCTATAGCAGCATAACAAGCTAACCCTAACTATAGGATTTATCAAAAAGGAAAGTCTTAAAACTGGACATTGTGTCAGCCTCATGGATAGAAACTGGAAGTTGGTTCCACAAGAGAGGAGCCTGATAACTGAAAGATCTTCCTCCCATTTTGCTTTTGGAAACTCTAGGGACCGCAAGTAAACCTGCAGTCTGAGAGCAAAGTGCTCCGTTAGGAAAATATGGAACAACAAGATCTGTAATACAGGTCCTTCTAAAAAAAAATAGCATATTGTGATAAAGGTCATTATTTTCCATAATGTAATGATAAAAATGAAACTTTCATATATTTCAGATTCATTGCACACCAACTGAAATATTTCAGGTCTTTAATTGTTTTAATACTGATGATTATGGCATACAGCTCATGAAAACCCAAAATGCCTGTCCCAAAAAATTAGCATATTTCATCCCACCAATGAAAGACAAGTGTTTTTAATACAAAAAACGCCAACCTTCAAATAATCATGTTCAGTTATGCATTCAATACTTGGTCGGGAATCCTTTTGCATGAATGACTGCTTCAATGCGGCGTGGCATGGAGGCAATCAGCCTGTGGCACTGCTGAGGTGTTATGGAGGCCCAGGATGCTTCGATAGCGGCCTTAAGCTCATCTAGAGTGTTGGGTCTTGCATCTCTCAACTTTCTCTTCACAATATCCCACAGGTTCTCTATGGGGTTCAGGTCAGGAGAGTTGGCAGGCCAATTGAGCACAGTAATACCATGGTCAGTAAACCATTTACCAGTGGTTTTGGCACTGTGAGCAGGTGCCAGGTCGTGCTGAAAAATGAAATCTTCATCTCCATAAAGCTTTTCAGCAGATGGAAGCATGAAGTGCTCCAAAATCTCCTGATAGCTGCATTGACCCTGCCCTTGATAAAACACTGGACCAACACCAGCAGCTGACATGGCACCCCAGACCATCACTGACTGTGGGTGCTTCACACTGGACTTCTGGCATTTTGGCATTTCCTTCTCCCCAGTCTTCCTCCAGACTCTGGCACCTTGATTTCTGAATGACATGCAAAATTTGCTTTCATCCGAAAAAAGTACTTTGGACCACTGAGCAACAGTCCAGTGCTGCTTCTCTGTAGCCCAGGTCAGGCGCTTCTGCCGCTGTTTCTGGTTCAAAAGTGGCTTGACCTGGGGAATGCAGCACCTTTAGCCCATTTCCTGCACACGCCTGTGCACGGTGGCTCTGGATGTTTCTACTCCAGACTCAGTCCACTGCTTCCGCAGGTCCCCCAAGGTCTGGAATCAGCCCTTCTCCACAATCCTCCTCAGGGTCTGGTCACCTCTTCTCCTTGTGCAGCGTTTTCTGCCACACTTTTCCCTTCCCACAGACTTCCCACTGAGGTGCCTTGATACAGCACTCTGGGAACAGCCTATTTGTTCAGCAATTTCTTCCTGTGTCTTACCCTCTTGCTTGAGGGTGTCAATGATGGCCTTCTGGACAGCAGTCAGGTCGGCAGTCTTACCCATGATTGTGGTTTTGAGTAATGAACAAGGCTGGGAGTTTTTAAAAGCCTCAGGAATCTTTTGCAGATGTTTAGAGTTACGTCGTTGATTCAGATGGTTAGGTTAATAGCTTGTTTAGAGAACCTTTTCATGATATGCTAATTTTTTGGGACAGGCATTTTGGGTTTTCATGAGCTGTATGCCATAATCATCAGTATTAAAACAATTAAAGACCTGAAATATTTCAGTTGGTGTGAAATGAATGTGAAATATATGAAAGTTTCATTTTTATCATTACATTATGGAAAATAATGACCTTTATCACAATATGCTAATTTTTTGAGAAGGACCTGTATAAGATGGAGCTAGGTTGTTGAGAGCTTTGTAGGTTAGAAGTAAGATTTTGATGATGGAAATCTGTTGTGGCGATGGAAAACTTTAATCCATGTACAGTGATCCTCACCTGTCAGGGGGGTTACTTTCCAGAGACCCCTGTGACATGTGAAAATTCACCAAGTAGTGGCATTATATTTATTTTATTTATATATTTTAAAGCTTTATTAAACCTTCCCACACTCCTACGAACCTTTCCCTGAAATTAATTTAGTGGTGGACCTGAAAATCCAACCTGACAGAACTTTGTTTTGAAAAGAAAACTCATCTGTGGAAACGCACTGGAAAGTTTCACAAGGTGAAGCAGAAAAACCCAGGTCACAGAAATTTGGTCAGGATGAGGAGATCATTCGGGAACATGAGTTAATCACTGGACGTTTACCTGCACAAGGCTTTCAATGATCTGGTGCCGGATAGAGAACAGGGAGCGTTTAAACACTACGACCACCAGGTGGGAAGAATGATGCTGATCCCAGCGGAGCAGGTGGGCGTGGTGAACAGACAGGCAGGACTGATGTAGTCTGTCAAGGTCAGCTTTGCTGTACCTTCACTACTAATTATTTAAAATAACGGGTTCTCTCTTTTTTGAGCTAAATTACAGCCATGTGACCGAGGTAACTGTGCGTAGATTGTTTAATCAGTGGCATGAGACGTTATTTTCTTTGACCCATCAGAATAAATGTGGTCATTTATTGAACAGAATCAAAATTTAACATCAAAATGTACAAGTGATTAGCTGATCTGGTTCTGATTAATAAAACTTGGCACGTTTTACTTAATAAAAACAACAGACATTTCTGAAGACATCTAGATTAATTAATTCATTACTGGCAAAATAGCAGAGTTTAAAGATGGGAAATGGAGGAGTTTAAATGGAGAGAAAAGATGGATAAACAGGAATGTGTGTTGTGGGACCGCAGAATGGCACGCTTCTTTCAACACCAGCCCAACTCTCCGGTACACTTGGCGCGTTAAGACTCGTTACCTTTGGACGGGGATACCTCCGCTCATGAACAGGAGTCCATTTCAATGCGACCTTTCAGCGTCTCCGGTAAGAGCGGCTGGCCATATCAGGAGTCGCGCCTCCTACTCCGTTCAACAAACACACTCATCTCCCGGTTGGATACACAGCAAGCTGTGAGTTCAGTCGGAGATTCCACTCAGACGTGGAGGACCCATGAAAGACCCAGGAAGACTCTGGTCCCGGACTCCAGCAGACTGAATACCGACTCAAGATTGAGAGACCCAGTTGACCTGATAGACCTGTCTGATCTGAGAAGTTCCAGTAAGTGTGGATTCTTAAAGAGTTCTCACTTCCAGTCACCTCAGGAATTCCTGATTGGTTGAAGCAACCAACAGGGGGTGGTTCTAGTGATGTCAGAGGGTCATTACAAGTCAAGAAAACAGCAGGAATGTTTTAGAAACTTCCCGTACAGACAGAAGACATGTTATGGCGAAGTGGGAGGAAGAGAGGCCAGTAGCTTCTTGTTTATCGTCTGCTAGGTTTAAAAACACAACACTTCGTTCTAATAACGATCTTCTGACTTTCGACCGACATCACTACCCTCTCATTCAGACAGAAGATCAAAAATGCATAATTGCTTTGTAAAATAGACATTTTAACTTGATTTCTAATTTAAATGAGGATTAAAAAAAATCATTAAAACTGTTTCACAGTTGATTTAAAATGAGTGGTTCACTTCAACATTTAGAAATGGTATGAACTAAACACACTTTTGATTTATCAAGATATTGTAAAATAGTGATGATAATATAAAAGAAGAGTGTTCTTTCAATTGATTACTTCAGGATACAATTAGACAGTCTCTGGATGAGCTAATTTGTATTTCTGGATTCAAATCAATGAAATAACAGTTCCTGTCCCATGAAGGTCCTCAGAGGCAGGTTTTGGTCGGAAGCCGAGTTCACTACACTGATGACAGTCACTCTCCTATAAACACTTCATATGTTCCAAAACACTTTAGTGATGAAGATATGAATGCAAACCAATAAAGTCCATGCTCAATAATCCAGGGTATACAAGCTAACAATTTTCAGTCTGGTCATCTGGACAGTTTTCTTTTTTTTGCTGAAACGTTTCACCTTCCATCCGGAAGGCTTCATCAGTCAAGGAAACACACAACACAAAACTGATTCTGAAGTAACGTTTCAGCAAAAAAAGAACCAGTTAGACATGACTGCTGACGAGGAAGAGGGCCGGCACCTGAGGAGGGGGCGTGCCAAAGACACCATCTTAGCACCAACATAACTGGTTTGTTCCACTTTGGAGTAAGCTGTTTGGGGGAAGAATCAGTTTTATGTTGTGTGTTTTCTTGACTGATGAAGCCTTCTGGATGGAAGGCGAAAAGTTAAAAAATAAAATAAACTGTCCAGATGACCTGACTGAAAAATGTATACCTGGATAATTGAGCATGGACTGTTGGTTCTCTGTGGAGTCAGTTTCAGGCGTTTGTATTTTATCATAACTATCTAAATAAATTCAGTTCTAGTGTTTTAACAACAACAACAAGGTGTTGTGTCTGTCTGGATGAGCTAAACTTGATTATATCCTGATGTCTGCTCAATATTCCAGGTAGAAAAATTCAACAAAGTCAACAAAGTTAAGTTAGGTCCTCTGGATGGATAAAAAAAAAAAAAAAAAAAACTTGTTAAAACTATTTGTCTTAAATCCAAAAGACTTCAGTCTGAGGAGCTGCAACAAACTCAGTCTTATAAGCAGCACCTTCTCATAGTGGATCAACCAGTTGTGGACATCCAGAACCAGCTGTTCACATGATAGAGGACCATCAGCCTAAACTGATCCTTGGTGCTCTGATGGCTGCTTGCTGTCCATCATTAAACAGGAGCAGAGGCCTCCGTGTTCAACTGTCCCCCTCTTACAATGCTGTTATTGCTAGTATCACTCAGCAAGTGGCCATCAGAGCACTAACGATCAGTCGTTAGGCTGATGGTCCTCCTTGATCATGTGAACAGCTAGTTCTGGATGTCATCGACAAACTGGTTGATCCACTTTGAGAAAGTGCTGTTTATAAGACTGAGTTTGTTGCAGCTGCTCAGACTGAAGAAGTCCTTTGGATTAAAGATGAAATGTTTTATCAAGTTTTTTTGTTTATATATTTTTTTAATCCGTCCAGAGGACCTGACTTAACTTTGTTAGACAAACTAGAGAAACGTTGTTCAAGCGTGTCTTCCTTCAGAACAATGTTTGTCTGGATGTTGCAGGTTAACTATGAACTGTAATCTGACAAAGTGTCGTAACGGAAGATTTTCATTCTGTTTCTCTTTAAGATGAACTCAGTCGTCATTTTAAAAACGGCTTAATGGAGACACAGTTCTCTCTGGGACAGAAAAATGGATGTTTTAGTTTCTGATGAGAGCAGATGTTCCAGTGCTCCTCAGGTCCTGTGTTTCTGTCTGTAGGACCTCCTGAACCAGATGAGCCAGATGTCCGTCCGTCCCAACCTGCTGACCTTCAACAGTGTTCTTAAAGCTCTGAGGCGCTGCGGCCATCTGGCCAAAACTTTTGCTCCACAAATTCTGAACGAGATGAAGGCTCTGGGAATTGGTGATGATGAGCTCGTTGTTTTAGCACCATCACAGATCAATGAGTGTTTTATGTCTGTCTCCTCTCATCCATGTGTTCAGCTCCCAGCTTGGCCACCTACGACCACATCTTGGCCTGCTTTAGCAAAACAGGTACACCTGGTACTGACTGTGGACCCGACGGGGGCTGAGCTGCTTGATGACTTGTTTGTCCTCTCCAGGCTTCTCTAAATTCAGCAACATGAACATCTTACAGAGACTGATGTCAGAGCTGGAAGGCTGCAGCTTCACCTGCCAGGATCCTGATGACGGTAAGGTTCCTTCACAAGGAGGTCTTTCTCTGCACCTCGTGGTCCTGCTGAGCCTGGTTCTCTTTCTTCTCCACAGTTAACTTCTTCGCCAACTCTATGAAGATTGTAAGTCTGGCTGGTTCCTCCTTTAACCGGCAGCTTTCTCCTCTGGTTTCTTTATTAAACTTCTACGTTTGTTTTTATCGTTGGAATTGTTTTCAGCTAAATCTAGTTTATTACAAACTTTTTTTTATTTCAGTTTTACAGATTTGACAAATAAAATGTTTTATTCAGTTATGAACAAGTTGCTCTTAAAGCTAGTTAAAGTAAAGGTTCCAGTCCTTCAAAGTAGCATTTTATAAAGCAGTTATTAGCAGTTAATATCTTACCTGCTGCAGATAGCTGTTTGCTCTGACAGGACTGATGGGTTCAGGCAGTGTCTGAGACCAGAGGAGACCAGCCTTTATGGCGGGGTGGGAGGTGCAGAGCGTCTCGATGCTGCTTTCAGCTGTCTCACGTCCTGTCGCTCCAAAAATAAACGTTCCAAAAGTTTCTGCAACAAATTCCTTCATCGCTGCAGATTCCCAGCAGCTCTGGAAATCAGGTTAAACCTGGAGAAAAACCTTCACTTTTTTCAGACAGGGACAACTCGTGGAGTTTGAGCACAGATGTGCAGGTTAAAGATGATCTTTGTGAGATTCTGTATTAATGTTAGTCTTCTGGTCTCAGTCGATCCAGGTTCTGCTTGTACACTTTACAGAGGACATGGATCCTGACTGATTGCTGGCAGCACGGTGCATCGGTTGAGCTGTTGCCTCTCAGCAAGAAGGTCACTAGATCAAATCGCGTCTGGGGGCCTTTCTGTGTCGAGTTGACATGTTCTCTCCGTGCATGCATGGGTTTTCTCCAGTTACTCCAGTTTCCTCCCACTGACTAAAAACATGCATGTTAGGCTGATTGGTAACTCTAAATTGTCTCTGGGTGTGAGTGAGAGAGTGAATGGTTGTTTGTCTCGTTTATTTCTATGTCCCTGTGATGGACTGGAGACCTGTCCAGGGTCCCCCCCCCCCACACACCACTGTGACTATATACTATATATAGGATACAGGATATTCTCTATATTTAGGTGGATATGGGCACCAGTGACCTGAAAAGACAAAAGTGGGTAAAGATAATGGATGGATGGATGGATGGATGGATGGATGGATGGATGGATGGATGGACGGACGGACGGACGGACAGACTGCTGTCTGCTCGTACTGTGGGCTACAGTTTACTTCCTGTCATCTCTGAATGTGACTCCGCCCACCACCTAACATGCCGTTTCATGTGACTGAAATGTCTCCACTCAGGAAGTTTAGTTGTCTTGAAACGCTGGAGCCCTGTTGCATCTCAGACCCAGCTCTGACAGAAACCCCTGAGGCAAACATGCTGCTCTGAAAACGACAAATATGATCAATAAGGTTTGAAAAGCTGCTCCACGTCTGCTCAAATCTTACTCCAGCTCATTCGTTCATGAAGCTGGTACGATGTGGCTGCAGAACGAATCAGCAGTATGTGCTTAGAATGGAAAACAGGTTCTGAGTTTAACGTGCACAGCTCGCTGTCATTTGGTGACATCATTGAGTGAGACTGCAGGGAAACGTCCTGCATGTTTTCCATTTGTTTACCTGAAGGGCTTTAGTGAATGTCCTGCAGCCACCAGGAGGCGTTGCTCTTTGAGGCTTCTCCTTCAGGCTTCCTGACCTGCCTCTAGTCCTGGGCAGCAGTTCTTGTTGGGCCTAGCTGCGTTTCAGTAAGCTGTTATCTCGTCAGTCTGATCAGGCGTCAGCACTTTACTCCAAACTAAGGTTGTTCAAAGAGCTATCTACAACAGATAAGATATTATTTGTTCACGATGTTTCCATCCCTGAAGTCTGGCTGTGAACTCACTGACTCTGTTTCTCAAAGTGTTTGGTATCTAAAGAGCTGGACTTGGCTTATAAAGTTCACAGTCTGGTGGAGGTTGGAGAGAACTGGAGGCTGCTCGGAAATCCCTCCAAACAAAATCTTTACTAGTAAGTTCTGACTCTAAAGTTCTGGTTCTGTAGAACCGCTCCACTTTTTAACTTCACCTGTCCTGGCTCCCTCCTAGTTGTCGCTTCTTCACCCTGCTGTGCCTGATGGAGCATATTGATGTGGTTCTGAAATGGTACCAAGAGATGGTCCCCTCGGTCAGTACCACCTGATCACCTCAGGTTCTGTTTACCAACACAACACCATTAGATAGACCAGAACCACCTGATCCACTTAGACCCACTCATTCTTCTGGATAGAACACGGTCAGTAACACAAAGACCTCCTCTAACATAAAGAGACGGAGAGGAGAACTGTCAGGAGGTGATGTAGACCTCCTCCATCATGCTAAATGTTCTGCTGGTTCTTACCGATACCTTCATCATTTTATTCATGACATTTGAACCCTTAAAGGTCAGATAGAGGTCAGACAAAGATCAGATGTAGGTCTTACATAAGTCATATAAAGAGCAGACTAAGGTCAGATGACGGTCGACAGAGGTCAGATAGAAATTAGTCAGAGGTCAAATTAAGGTCTGAAAGAGGTCAGATAGATCAAACAGGTCATACGGGTCAAAGAGGTCAGACAGGAAAAATAGAGGTCATGCATAGGTCAAATAGAGGTCAGACGGGTCAGATAAAGATCGTACAGGGGTCAGATAGGTCAGATAGAGGTCATACTGGGGTCAGATAGAGGTCAGGTGAGGCTGAGTTGTGTACTTGACCTAACAAAACCTGCATCTCCTGTAATAAAACATTTTAGCAACATGGAGTCTCCAAACAAAGTTTATTGTTTGAGTTGTGGGTCACTTTAGACCCTCAAATAAAGAAAAGTCTTTGTTGTTCTCTCTGGAGTTTTGTCATAGAGACAGCGTTGCAGATGATTATTGCATTGAGTTTTTCTACATCATGATGTCTTTTGGTGCTAATATGTAGAACGTTTATGGTTCATAACAAATTGTTTGTTTCCTGGTAAATGTAGAAATAACCCCACTTCCTGCTCACATGCTCTGAGATGTTTTCAGTGGTCAGTAATTAGTTCTTGACTGATGTTGTGAACGGTCTGGTGGCAGATGTTCTACCCGAGCGTTCAGTGCCAATTGGATCTGCTGCATGCTCTGGACACAGACAACCGTCTGGACCTGCTGCCCATGATCTGGAAAGGTAACGTCCTGCTACACCTCTGAATCACTCATCTTTTAAATATGGTGCCTATATTCGCAGCAAAAAGTTCTGGGCTGTTTTGTTGTAGGACATAATAAAAATTATTGTTCTTTTTGGGGATATCAGTTTATTTCAGTATGACCTGAAGTGTACAAAAACAAACAACAAATGTCGTCATGTTGTTGTTTATTAAACAAATATGAAGACAAAGTGGAAATGCCTTCTCCACTTCCTGACCCACCAGTTTTGCTGAGCCTCCCTCAGCAACAACAACTCTGTTTTCTGATGGATTTATTGGTCTCAAACAGGATTTTGAAAGAATTTTGGCCCACTCTTCTTTATAACGTCCCTTTAGTTCAGTGCTTCTCAATTATTTTCTCTTATGCCCCCACTCCCAAGGAAGAAGTAAACATTTTGCGCGCCCCCACCCCAACTCTCCACGGCGACTGTAAATAGTATGTTTATAAAATTGTTATAAGTACAAACCAGATTCAAAAAAAGTTGGGACACTAAACAAATTGTGAATAAAAACTGAATGCAATGATGTGGAGGTGCCAACATCTAATATTTTATTCAGAATAGAACACAAATCACAGATCAAAAGTTTAAACTGAGAGAATGTATCATTTTAAGGGAAAAATCTGTTTCCAAATTTCATGGCGTCAACAAATCCCAAAAAGTTGGGACAAGTCCATTTTTACCACTGTGTGGCATCCCCCCTTCTTCTTACAACACTCAACAGACGTCTGGGGACAGAGGAGACCAGTTTCTCAAGTTTAGAAATAGGAATGTTCTCCCATTCATGTCTAATACAAGCCTCTAACTGTTCAATCATCTTGGGCCTTCTTTGTTGCACCTTCCTCTTTATGATGCACCAAATGTTCTCTATAGGTGAAAGATCTGGACTGCAGGCTGGCCATTTCAGTACCCGGATCCTTCTCCTACGTAGCCATGATGTTGTGATTGCTGCAGAATGTGGTCTGGCATTATCGTGTTGAAAAATGCAGGGTCTTCCCTGAAAGAGATGACGTCTAGATGGGAGCTTATGTTGTTCTAGAACCTGAACATAGTTCTCTGCATTAATGGTGCCTTTCCAGACATGCAAGCTGCCCATGCCACAAGCGCGGATGGCACGGTGGATTGTGTTCACTGACAATGCTTTCTGGAAGTATTCCTGAGCCCATTCTGTTATTTCCTTGACAGTGGCATTCCTGTTTGAGGTGCAGTGACGTTTAAGGGGCCGGAGATCACGAGCATCTAGTAGAGTTTTACGGCCTTGACCCTTACGCACAGTGATTGTTCCAGATTCTCTGAATCTTTTGATGATGTTATGCACGGTTGATGGTGATAACTTAAAAGTCTTTGCTATTTTACCCTGGGTAACACCATTCTGGTATTGCTGCACTATCTTTCTGCGCAACAATGGTGGAATTGGTGATCCTCTTTCCATCTTGGCTTCTGAGAGACACTGACACTCTGAGAAGCTCTTTTTATACCCAATCATGTTGTTTATTGACCCAATTAGTGTTAATTGTTCTTCCAGCTGTTCGTTATATGCTCAATTTCCTTTTTCCAGCCACTTATTGCTACTTGTCCCAACTTTTTTGGGATTTGTTGACACTGTGAAATTTTGAATCAACATGTTTTTCTTTTTAAAATGTTACATTTACTCAGATTAAACTTTTGATCTGTCATCTATGTTACATTACGAATAAAATATTGACATTTGCCATCTCCACATCATTGCATTCAGTTTTTATTAACAATTTGTTTAGTGTCCCAACTTTTTTGGAATCCAGTTTGTACACCTCTGCCTAACATTGTGCCCTTATTAGCATTAAAGAAAAAAAAGACTTAAAAGGAAGAATAACTTTATTAACATTGGGGTTTTTTTGGTCTGTATCAATTTGCCTGAAAAAAAAAAATTTAAACTGTAAATATTTTTGACCATTTGATACTGTAAAATAAAATATAATCAATAAATAATAATAAATTCAAATTTATCAGCAACATTTTAACTCAGGAGTGTTATATAAAACATTTTGACCTACAAAACAAAAATGAATAAAACAATTTATGCTGATTTTTTAATAATCAAAATGAGGAAGTCAGGATCAATGAGCACATTCATCGATAAAACAAATAAAAAAATGTTGTCAACATGAAAGAGGAAAGAGGGGGCAGGGAACCCTCTCGCTTTGAGTTTACTCTTTGTCACCTGCGTGCTGTGAGTGACGAGCGTCCAGAGCTAAAAAACAGCAGCTTAACTGAGGAGGTGAATTAATTTTGTTAGCGAAGAATCGAGTCCTAACATTTGTTAAACATTACTTTTATAAATTGTGCTTTAACAAACTCATTGATAAAACTAAAACATTTTGTCAACGCAAAAGAGGAAAGAAGGAGCAGGTGTCGCTCTCGCTTTGAGTTTACTCTTTGTTGCATGCGCGCTGTGAGTGACGTCCAGAGCGCGTGGACATAAAAACAGCAGCGGAGGACGGAGGAGGTGACGGACGGAGTTTATTTATCTTGTCAGCAGCAGAGGGGAGAGACACGTTCATGTATGGCTCCCAAAACGACAAGGCAGCCATATTTGTTCATAACTTTATTATTAGGAATGTACGCGACAAAATGAGAATGGTGAAAAGAAAAGAAAAAACTCTGCGGCAAAAAAAGCATGTTTCCTAGGGTCACATGCCCCCCCCCCCCCCCCCCCTGGCATTGCCCCGGGCCCCCCCAGGAAAGCGCGCCCCACTATTTGAGAAGGACTGATTTAGTTCATCGAGGTTTTGCAGACTGTTGTTTCTGCACAGCTCTCCTAAGATTCTACAACATTTCAGCCTAGTTGAGGTTCTGGACTGGGTTCTGTTGTAGACTAGCTGCTGCCACTTTGGTCCAAGTCTCAGTTGTCCCTTTAGGTCGTTTTCACACCAGATAGTCCGGTAGACTCGGTTCAGTTCGGGACCAGTATTCATGACCTTTTGTTTACATTTGAGCTGGTGAGTTTGCATTCACACTGCACTGTGCAGTCGAGTCAACCTGTTGAACCAACCTGTTCCCCCACTCGCCTGTGGGGGCGCTGCACCAAGAACTACTGAAAGAAACGACACAAAAACCTCTGAAGACACGTCTTCTTCTTCTGTAAATAAAAATAAAAACAAAATGGCATCAAGTTTTAGCAGTTTTAGGAGTTAAATTTTGTCATTTTTCAAAAATGGACTTAGCATGAGCAGAAGATGAGACAGAAGAACATGGAGAATATTGTTTTTCCACACAAGGCAGCTGACGGCTCCATATAAGGTCAGAGCAATGCGTGTTTGTTTACCCTGCGGAGCGGGGCCGGTCTGTTTACATTCACACTGTACTCGAACTGCGCTGGAGTTCTCTTCTACCTGACCGAGACCTAGGTTTTAGCCCGGGCCAGAGTTCGCCTTTTTGTTCCGTGACAGAGTTCGATGGCGCGTTCACACCTCCCTAAACGAACCGGACTTTCTAGGAAAACGAGCTAGAGTTCGATTAAAGCGGACTAAACAGGGCTGGTGTGAATGCACCCTTAGTCTCTTGTGTCCAGAGGGCCTTGTCCCAGAACTCTTCTGGTTCCTTCAGATGAAACTTATTTCTCCTGGATCCAGACCAGCTGTACTTGTTCACTTTTAGTTTTTGTCGTCTCATGAACTTTAACCTGTTAAAGGAGGCCTGTAGAGTCTGGGATGAAGCTCTTTTGGTTTTTCAAACTTCTCTGAGCGCTGCACACTCTGACCTTGGGGTGAATTTGCTGGGGCCATTTTTGAAGATACTCAAATGCTGTCTTCAAACCTGTGGATAATCTTTGTCTGTGTAAAATGATAGACTTAACTCGTTAGGAGCTGATATTTAATCTTTCTCATACTGATGGGCAGCTGCTGCTGTAAGGTCATTGCTGATGTCTTTCCTTCTTGGCATTAGGGTAACTTATACCTGGTGGCTCCAGAGTAATACACTTCCAAAACTCCTTCTTGGGGGTGGCTTGGCCCTGCGTTAAGGATGTCTTCTTTCAGTCAGAGGGTCAGGGATTCAGTCCTTGTCCTGATGGTACCAAGTCCTCCTGCAGCGTCCTGAAGTCACTCAACCGCCCACCGATAAGCTTGTGTGGGCACACAAGAACGCAGACCTGGTGGGGATGGCACCAACAAACTCAACTTCTGGAGGTGCACCAGTGAGAGTATTGACACCGCCTCCATCCTTGCAGGTATGGGAGCAGTTCAGGAATGGACCACAGAGCTCTGCAGCAGGCGGTCCAAACAGCACAACTTGTTGGTGCTGCTCCCCTCAGGGAGACTGAACCACGACTGAAGACCAGTTTGTACCTGTAGTCAAACAGGACCGAGCCTCTGCCCCTCCCCTCGACATCAACAACACAGGCTCTGTTGTGTCCAGTAGGATGAGAAGACAACCCAAGTCCACGTAGAAAGATCTTTACACAATATACCTCGCACAATGTTTAGAGTCCATGAACATACTCATCCACTGGGAGGAAGGGAGGGAGGGAGGGTGCCATTTATAAGACTGAATTTGTTGTGGCTTTTCGAACTGAAGAAGTCCATTGGATTAAAGATTAAATATTTTGACAAGAAGAACTCGTCCAAAGGACCTGACTCAACTTGTAACCATCCCTCTATTATCAGGAGACTATGCTTTATTCTAGTTTTTATATCGCCTTAAAGTATAGTTTCCTCAAATGATTGGGGTGGCTGAAGATTAATCTATGGGGGGGCCAACGCCACCATTGGCCACCCCCGGGCTCCTCTGTTGCACCTGGTGGTGGATAAAATTGCTCTCTTCACTCAACAGGAGCCATCACTCTCTGCTGCCTCAGACAAGAAAAACAAACCTCCCTCTGTTCTCCACAGTGTACCTCCTACCCCCTTGTGTGTCTTGCACCAAAAACATTTAGGTTTACTTCATTCTCTGTTCAATTCCGACCCAGAAAAATACTCATCTCTGTATCTAAACAGTCGCTGTTCAACCCCGTCAGACGGGGGACATCGGAGTACTGCTGTGTCCATCTCAAGTTTCAGAATTTCAGAACCTGGTAAAGGTCTCATCGTTCATGGTTTTGCTGTCCTGTGAACGTTGACAGAGGAGGAACGTTGTGTTTGTGTCTGATGTGAACTCCTTCAGATCCTCTCAGCTCTGTAAACCTGTTGTTTGTCCAGATATCAAGACGTTGGGCTACAGTCAGGTGGAGCTGGTGGAGGAGCTGCTCTCTCTCATGGCCAGAGACCAACACAGTCCTGAGGTGAGACCTTTAGTTTTCATCACAGTGCTGTGGGCAGGACAACCACTGGAAGATTTCATCCCTGTGTAGTTCAACTGTGACTCCAACCATTTGAAGTCACTGGGAATAAAGGAACGCTGACTGGAAGTGTTAGATAAAATCAAGATGTTTTGGTTTAGAATATAATCATAAAAACTACAGTGGCCCCTCGTTTATCGCAGGGGTTACGTTCCGGACAAACCCCCCCCCCCACACACACACACACACACACACAATAAATGATAAACTAAAAAGTAGAAATGACAGATTTCTGAGTTGAAACAACAAACCAAAACAGTTCAGTCAACTACTAAATTTAAATCAACTAAAGTAATGCAAAAGTTTATTAATCAAGAGAACTTAGAACTTAATAATGTTTATTTATCTTACATTTTAAGTAGAGTGAGTAGTAATGCCTTTTTTCTCACCAGCTCTGCAGCTCGGTTCCGGATCATTCATTCATTCAACCTGTATTCTGTACCTGTATGTAAACAGGTTAGTCCCACTGAGCCACAAGAACTCGTTTACAAGAGAGACCAGCAGACCTGCCCAGCCTTGGTCCGGTTCTGATCGGCTCTCTGCATCCACTGAGCACCAAAGTCACTATGAATACTGTAAGAACCGAACTATTTCAGATTGGATCAAAACTTTCCCTCCATTTCAGCAGAAAATATTTTCCTTCTGGGTAATGTAGTCCTTTACACTGGTGATACTATGTAGGCTTATTGAGAGAGAACTACAAAATGGCGGCACTTTTTCTCTTTTTTTTTTCTTGTCATGTACAATCTGACAGTACTGTACTTTGAAAAACCGCAAAAGAGCGAGTCCACAAAAGTCAAACCGTGAAGTAGCGAGGGACTACTGTACTTCAGTTCTGGACCACGAGGACACCTGAAAAACCCCAATATTATTACAGCATAATACCTAAAAGTTAATATATATATATATATATATATATATATATATATATATATATATATATATATACAGGTCCTTCTCAAAAAGTTTGCATATTGTGATAAAGGTCATTATTTTCCATAATGTAATGATAAAAATGAAACTTTCATATATTTCAGATTCATTGCACACCAACTGAAATATTTCAGGTCTTTAATTGTTTTAATACTGATGATTATGGCATACAGCTCATGAAAACCCAAAATGCCTGTCCCAAAAAATTAGCATATTTCATCCCACCAATGAAAGACAAGTGTTTTTAATACAAAAAACACCAACCTTCAAATAATCATGTTCAGTTATGCACTCAATACTTTGTCGAGAATCCTTTTGCATGAATGACTGCTTCAGTGCGGCGTGGCATGGAGGCAATCAGCCTGTGGCACTGCTGAGGTGTTATGGAGGCCCAGGATGCTTCGATAGCGGCCTTAAGCTCATCCAGAGTGTTGGATCTTGCTTCTCTCAACTTTCTCTTCACAATATCCCACAGGTTCTCTATGGGGTTCAGGGGATAAGGGGCTTAAGGCAGGGCCATGTATGTCCCCATTATGTCCCAGTTACGTCCTTAGAGATGGATACTGTTAGGACCTGATGCTATTAAATGTTTGAAAAGAAAACTTGGAGCAGACCTTGGGGGATTTGGGGGCATGTCAGCAGAAGTGAGATCCGGTCTGGTCTGGATGAGACTCACAGGTTTGTCTCTGCTGGCAGAATAAAGTGTTGTCCAGCAACAAACTTGTCTCTGTTGTCTCTCAGTAACGTTGTCCTCAGGTGGACGTAAAATGATCCTCAGAGCTGAATGGAGAAGATAACTGTGACCCTGACAGGACGCTGAGCACACTGAGTCTTTTTGTCTCAGGTTCAGGAGGCGTTTGCTGCGTGTGCTCTGGACATACTGAGAATGTTGGAGTTGAAGCCCGATGTGGTGTGGACCTCCTTCTGCCTGTCTCACATCACCAGTCTGCTGCTGCGAGTCAACCTTTGTGATCGGGCCTGGTGAGAGGACACACTACTTCCTGTTTTAACAGTAAACAAGTCAACAAACGTTCCCTCGTGTCTTCTCTGTGCAGGGAAGTGATGCAGCTCTTCAGAACCAGAAGTCTGATTCCTAGGTGAGTTTGCTCCAAACAGACTGAACCGAACCAACAAACGTCAGGCTTCACAGCCGAGCTTCGGCTGGCTGCAGTTAGAATACACCAGACAGGAAAACTTCAGTGTTGAATGTTCCTACAGGTTCTTTAAAGTGTTGGGATGACTTGATGATTGCCACCATCTAAATATGTCTGTCTGTTAGCAAAATATATCTTCTGATGCACATGAAAGTAATCATTAGATGGACATCTACAACTGGATTTAATCCAATTCAAAATGGCCAACAGAGTTTTCCCACCTTAGCCCATACAGACATGGCTAATCCTCCATTAGCTTTACAGACATTGATGTAAATGTTGCTGTGGTAGTAGCTGATAGTCATCTTAGACTAAATCTCTGCCGTACTGAAGAACAGCTTCGTCTCTGGTTTGACAAACATTTCAGATGATGATGATGATGATGGCTGCTCTGTTTGTGTCTTCCTGTTCAGTGAGGCGATGGTGAACAACTTCCTGTCAATGTGTCAGAGCAGCGGCAACTCTCAGCGAGCGGTGGAGCTGGTGCAGCTGTCCGCTGCCCTTTGTCTGTCCTCAGCTCCGAGACTGGCAGCTCAAGTTCTGGATGAGTTTGAGCTGAGCGAGGAGCAGAGGTCAGTCTGAAACAAACCCACCAGGTCCCACTGGAACTGTTCTAGATCAAAAACAGTTTTATCAGAACCTGTGTCATCATTTTTACTATTTAATGTGTCGTATAAACACAGAGAGGAAAACAGGGACAACTGATCACTGAACTACAGGCTGAGGCGTTTAAAACCAGCAGGAACTTTGAGCTTCACAGAAGTCTGGACAGACTTTAAAGAAGTGCCAACATGGCCTCTGTTGGACTAAATGAGTTGCTTGTTCAGCCTTTAAGCAGACATAAGATGTGCTCTGAAGACAAAACGGGTCGTTCTTAAAGTCCAGTGGTACTGGGAACATAAAAACCATCAGACCTTGAAGATCTGTTTGTGATGAACTCACCAACCTTTGAGGACCAGACCTTTATCCTGTTGTTTATCCAGCAATTTAGAAGGTTTTGCTTTTTGTTTCATCTTTAGAGACTCAAGATGTTTGAAAAGTGTCTCATTCACCCTCACTCCGTTTTGTGATAAGTCTTGTTTTAATCAATTAGGCTGCGCATCTTGAAATATTCATCTAGTAATAGTTTAGGATAAAACAGCAGCTTTCCACTGCTGTTCTTCACTGCATCAGAATGTTCCTCAGATCCACCATCAGCAGATCTGGGATCGATTAAAGAAAGAAAAACACTGTTGTTCACTTCTGATGTTCACTCCTATTGTTTATTCTAGATGTTCACTCTGGTTGATCACCCCTGATGTTCACCCCTTATTTTCACTCCTGATGGTCACCCCTGATGTTCAC